CCCCCTTGTGTGGGGCTGAGATAAGAAAATGTATTATTCTAGATGGCCGGAAATGGCATCACTTAGCTGAATATAATTTTCTTTTTATCTGCATTTTTATTTATTTATTTTTTTTTTTTTGACAAATTTGGTGGGGTCCCGGGACGAGAGGGGCCCCGTCTGGCCGACGGACCCCCTCTCTTTAATCGTTATATATGCCCTACAGTCGATTTCAGAAACACATTATGGTGTTATTTATCAACAAAGTCATTTTTGGTCTGGGTGCTAGATCATGGAACATATAAAAGGGCCTCTTCGGGGCCCCTGCGGACCGCCGCATGAGAGCACATAGGCGTTACGCCACTGGAACTACAAATACTTTCACAAGCAAATGAGAGTTAGGTATGATGATGAGGAAAACATCCATCTTCATATACCTTAAAACCCGGATTTATGATGATAAATGAGAAAATAATCATCCATCCAACTGTAAGTGACCCACGCACTGTCTGTAATGAGGTATTAGCACCCACATTATAATCAGGGGCGGATCCAGGACTTGAAAAAGGGTGGTTCAAAATGGAAAATCCTGTTCCGGAAATGAGCTTCCCGACTTCTGAATAGTTTTTTAAATGTCCTTTAGGTTTTTCAAAATTCAAGGTTTTTTCCTCTTGAAAAGATCAATAATTTTGTCTCATTCTTCAGACCTCTATATAGAGAAAAAAAATCAAAGACATAGTGAGTGGATTTCCCGCACGATTGAAAATCGTAAGGTACTAGGTTTGGTCTAGAGTTTGTGCTTCGAACAAGGAGGTATAAAAATATTATTTTATTGCCTCAGTGGCGGCGCCAGGACCTGCCCGACGGAGGGGGGCTAAAGGCCCCAATGGGGGGGGGGGCTAGTGGAGCGAATCGAGTCTCACTTGGGTGGGGCCAGGGGCCACCTACGGCCCCCAGTGGGGGTCCAGGGGGAAGCCACGGATATTTTATGAATTATTTATTTTTTTTACTTAATTTTTATTACTTAGGCCTATTTTATAGGCATTGAGTTACTATAATATGACTTCATGTAGGCTATGCTTTCTAATGTTGAAATCAGCTTCCAAAACCAAAACATTTTGAATGAAACAAGAAACAAAGAGTATGCAATGTAACCGTCTAATTAAGTGAAATTCTATATTTTGGAAATTTTGCATGAAATCCGAAACTACGGCTTTATTCTTGTTAATGTATAGATGGATTACTACTATGTCCATTCTACGTAAATTTTATTTCAGATTTTATATTTCAATAATAAAAATTGTTTTGATATTTATTTGAAAAATATATTATATGAAATAATGTAATCGTTAAAGTTTAATAATATTTGATATTTGAATAAACAATAAGACCCCCCCCCCCGCTCTCTTTAATCGTTATATTATGATATATGCCCTACAGTCGATTTCAGAAACACATTATGGTGTTATCTATCAACAAAGTCCCCCACCTCCTCCACTCCCACTGGCTCCGCTCCTGGTTCAAAAACTCCTGTAGACCAAACCCAGTGCCGTTACGATAATAGTGCGGGAAATCTACTCACGCAGTTTATCCTTAACAGTTTTTAGAGGGCGTTCTTTCGTCGAGCGGAACACATTTAGTTTGAGTGGAACATAGAGATATAATAAGAATAAAAGAGCGCTAACTGCAATGTATTCGATGTTCGAAATACGCAGAGCTGTGTGTGTGTGTGTGTGTGTACCATCCAAGATGGTTGCCATAGATTCAGCCAATCAAATTTCGCCTAAGCTCCGTCGTTTGCAATTGCGCCCTCAATTTACACAGAAAGTTCAGTACATCTAGTCACCCGTATGTTTTAAACTCGAGCGTTGCGGTGTATGGGTGTAATGTACACGATTTTAATTTTCATCCTTGGTACTTTATTTTTGAATAGGATGCTCCACTTGGCCTCGTTTTGGTTACGATAGTTTAATAATTTGTTATTACCATTACTCATTATCATTAATGAAATAATAGTCAGTCAGAGGGCTTATTTATGGTAATAATATGTATACTGTGCCTGAAGGTGGCGCTTTACTACGGCGGCCATCTTGGATGGTACACATAACTCTGCATTGCTCCGCCATCTTGTCAGTACTCTAGTTGTTTAATAGCTCTATGGAGTGGACTCGCTTCTGTTATAATATGAGGTGAAATCATCGTTGCTTGGAGTCGGCCTAGGGCCTAGCCTAGGTCTGGAATTTGTAATGAAAACATATTTTTAGTGTAAAGGATAGTATCATATTGAGTGTAAGATGGCTAGAAGAAAAATATCAGGTGATTATAGTGAGCCAGACACTGAAGATATTAGTACTTCGCTTGCAAGTGACCTAACTAACTCATTAGACCTAAGCCTTAGCAAGGAAGCCAGTGATTTCGAAGAGGTTCGCCCGAAGAAACGCTCCGCGGGTGCCTCAAAGAAAGTAACAAAACAGTTAATAGAACGAAAACAGCTGCTGCATGATGTCCAACTTCTAAAAATAGAATTATCACAAAAGAACCAGATCATTACCAATTTAAAAGCCGAACATATGTCAAAGTTGGAAGAACTAGAAGAGAAACTAAATGATGCTCTACACAGAAAAAACATTTTGCAAGCAAAATTAGAAGCCCAGTTGAACCTTCAGAGAGATGAGGCCAGCAGAAGACAAGATAAAATGAACACCGACTTGGAAATGATAGCAAGAAGACAATTGAATTTAGAGAAAACAAATCAGGAACTACTACAGAGAGCGGGTAATATCCGAGAATCAATGGAGAATTTAAATTTAACTGAGGATGAATTCATAGAACTAAAAGCCAAGAATGACACAGAGCTTTCTCTTAGAGACTTTGTGGCAGTAAGTAACCAACACATTTGACTTTTTTTAGTGCAGTCAGAGGTTTATAGTGAATCAAGAAATATCATCAGAGGGTGTGCCACAAGAAAGCATAATAAGGGGACTGGAAAGGGGACAGAAAACAACAAGACACATGATATTTTTTAATTAATGTCTAACGTAAATGAAATTCAGCATTTTTTAGGGAAAAAATGTGATCAGTCAAACGACACCACACCACCACCGTGGTCGCGCTAGAGATCAAGCGGCGCTATTGCCCCCTTGTCAGTCCCATCTTGTATTGCAATTTTGATTCGAGATAAATAATTTTTGTCGAATCTGTTTCAGAAATACAGTATACGTAAAATATTCACCGTGGTTAGAGATACGGTACCGTATCGGAACTTCCGATTGCTAAAGGTACGGTAAATGATATTACGTCATGATTAGCCAATAGAAACGCTGATACATGTGCGATGTCATTCAGTGCACTGCTGCTGCTAGTGAGTGTGTGTTTTATGGTTTTTAGCAACGATCGAAGATAAGAAATTTTGTTCGTTCTCGGGTGTTGTTGACAAGCTGTGATTAATATTCTGTAGCCTGAGGCCCTATAGCAAAAAAAAAAGAATAGCAGTTTTGCTAGATTTGGCGACATCAAGCGACTGAGTAAACTATTTTAATAGGTTAGAAGCCAGGCCTAGCCATAGCTACCCCTGCTACTTTACTGTGCATACTAATTCCCTGTAGTATACGCACTGTAGGCCTATTCTACTACTAAAAATAAAGTTTACTCTCACTGATAATTACAATCGCCATGTTGCTTGGTTGGCTATTTCAATCAGCAATAATAATTAGTGCCTACTACTCTATAAGCTTAGGCTAGGCTCCTAGTAGTAGCACTTACTAAGCCCTAACTAAGCCTAGCCTAGTAGTACTGTACACCTATAAGCATAGGCCCCTAGCCGGGTATTCGGCCTATGCCCTAGGCCTAAGCCTAAGTAGACCATTCTCTATGGTAGACCATAAAATACGCAAGAATAACAGAAAGGACTTTTAACCCAAACATTGTGATAAGCCCCAATCGAAGTACATGAAATGGGCCTATTAATGACATAAATTTGATCGTAACTGTTCGCGCCCGTTTCTCATGATCACGACGTCGACTTTGCAAAAAAGCCAAATCGAGTCGGTCATTTCTATTGGCTAATCATGATGTAATATCATTTACCGTACCTTTAGCAATCGGAAGTTCCGATACGGTACCGTATCTCTAGCCATGGCGTAAAATTAAAAACAATCTGAAAAAATCCAATCTGAGGACATTGCTAATTTTAAAGGTATTTATTGAGTTCATGTTTATCCAATGATTTATTGTGTCACATCGCTTTGCTCATTCTATGGCCTGCTCTGATTCTTGGAGCAACTATCTTGAACACAAACTTTGATGTTCGACCATTGTTCCCACTTCCTAAGTATTGTAGTGTGAGATTGGTACACGCCCCCCTCCCCCTTTTTTTCCATGCCGGAAATGGCTCCTTTAACTTTGTACGGTTTTTACAAAGGTATATCTCGAGAAATAATGATAGATAAAAAGTTGAAAATTGCTACATAGACTGAAATTTGGCCCTCTGTCAAGAAATACCATTGAAATTTGGGTAGCATATTTTATTAATAATATACTGACTTATTTGAAAACCCTGTACAATATAAGCACACAGGCACACATCTGTATAAGCAGACAGATAGAAAGTAATTCATCATATGTTCATTCATTCAATTTTTATATATATATATATATATATATATTTTTTTTTTTTGCACTACAGACTGTATTGGGTTTGCATCTCCCTTTTTCTTTTATTTATTATTATCATTATTATTATTATTATTATTATTATTATTATTATTATTATTGTTATTATTAACTTTTTATTATTTGTGCATTTATTGAATACTTTCATTTCATATTGTATCATTCACTATTAATTTATGTATAAAATAAGGACAGTAGATTGTGAGATACCGCCCGAAAATATCAAAAATCTGCATCTTACTCCTTCACTCCATCCGCAAAACAAGCTTATCGTCATAGACCAAGTGGCAGGCTGTATACTGATATAAACAAGTAGTTTTTTGATGATTGTGACCTTGACCTGTGACCCTGATTCCTTAAAGTTTTATCATCTTTAGATTGTTGGTCATGGAACATTGTGACAAAGTTTTAAAAATTTCTAATTCTTAGCTGTTGGCTGTTATATATAAAAAATAGTTCGTCAATTGTGACTTTGACCATAGCCCTTTAAAATTTAATCACCTCGAGATCTTTGGTCACGGATCATTGTGATCGTTGAAAAGTTTCCGATGAAAACTGTGCCCTGTAGAATGTTCACAAACAGATAAACAAACGGACGGACAGACAAACAAATACGCCACAGACAAAGTCACAGCGGCAAAAACATAACCTCCCAGGTGGAGGTAATATTATTAAAAATAGGAAAACCAATACAGTACAAAATTTATCAGTTTTCTTTTAGAGGCAATTTTTTTGATAGTATGTTTTTTGACAGCTGAACTTAAGAATGAACTTACTCGATTGAAAGACCTAAATAAATCTTCAGTATAGTCATCTCAATGTGCTAATATATTATTTTTCATTTCTTGTACAACAAGACTTATTTTGTCACAAAAGCTTACAGAATTTGCACTATTGTGAATGTTGCTACTGCAGTATTATGAATTGTAAAACCCAGTAATAATGAAGTATTTTTCAGATTGGTTTATTTAATTTAATCACATGAATTTACATTTACAATTATAGTATCATGCAAAAGTTCATGTCTTTAAATAAATAAAAACAATTATTTAAAAGAACTTTAGGCTAATAGTGATTTATGGATAGAATTACAGTGTATTACTGTAGGCCTTGAGATTATTAAGTGACAAGTCCTTTCCGATTGGTTGCAACAGAGTGCTGGAAGCATCGAAATTAGGTCATGTGACCATCATATATCCTGGCTTCAGTTTCCTTTCTTAATCAGTGAAGCCAGTGTGCGATTTTTTTTTCCGTACGAAACATTTACATGAAACTCCACTCGGGCCGTCTCGGCTGAATCGACCCGAAAATCTCATTGCAGAATTCAGGAGGTCAAAAGGTCATCAATAGATAAACGTCTACAGAACAACTTCTGAGAGAACGTCGCTGTCTAATTTTTAAAAATACATTGATATTACCATGTTAATACCAATGGGGCGTTTAAAATGACATATAATATTTGATTAAGCTGCACGAGTACTGAAAAGTGTTATTTTAACTTGAGTTACATACTATGACAATTTTAATTTTTTAGTTAGG